GGGGGGGGTTTAGGGGTGGGGTGGGACATTAGGTTGTTGGGCTTCAGAGTTTAGAGTGGCATTTGGTGGAATTGGTGTGGAGCTGGATTGGAGCTTTATGACTTTATGAGAACCAAGCAAGGGCCCAGAAGCACACAGATTCTCTAAAAGAAAAGCTCTCCGCGTCACAACTGAGAAAAGCTCTCCGCGTCACATTCGAGACAAAAAAACGCGTCACAACCGAGACCCTTTCCCATCGAATGACTCAAAACCATTGCCATTCATCAACTCAGCAGGCGGTCCCCATCTCCCAACATCCCCTCCCCCCCGCCGAGAGCGGCCTGAGAAAGCGCCGACGCAAGAGGCCCTGTCCAAACTTCTTGGGGCGAAGGCCCAAGACCTGGCCATGGTGAAGCCTCGCGTGATCCCTCCCGATTCCGGGACCCAAGGGCAAGGGCCCGGAGTGCAGTCAGTCGGCACTTCGACTGCACCAGTTCGACTGCATTGAGAGCGGTGTCACAGGTGCAGGCTGTCGATGAACATCGATTGAACTTAAAAGTCCAGGCATTGGAGCGGGCAAGATCTGGCATGCACTACTGAAACCTCAAATCAAGAACTACTGAAACCTCTCACATGACATGTTATGCGGTTGGTTTCATGGCAGTTCCTCTCCTTCCCGGAGTGGACCCACCCCGGAGCCTCAAAGGCGTGACCAGCCCCCAAGATCCACCGGACCGCCTCGGGTGGAGACAGGAGAACGGGATCCGTTTTCCAAGAGGCCTCTATGAAGGGATCCGTGCAATACATCGATGGCTGCCACACAAAAAGTGGCCATTCTCCAGTGCGTGCGGAGGGGTCACGTCCCCAAGTGATGGTCATCTGAGTCATCAGCCAGCATAGCGAGCCAGTTTTGGAAAGTAAAATGACCCAAAACCTGGATTCCGACCCCAGCCAGGGTACAGGCTGCAGGTTTCCAAGGGTTCCCTCTGTCTCTGCGAACCCATCCAGTCTCCCAGTCCGGCACACAGTCCGGGCGCTCGGATCTCCGCGGCACCTCCGTGCCGCTCCAGGCCATCATCTCCTCCTCTGAGAAGTACGCATCGGCTCCCTAGAGGAAAGCAAGCAAAAGCGCGGGACTCACACGTGGCGCTTTTGGTGCGGGACTCGCACGAGTGTTTCCCAATCCCCTGTTTCTTCCCAGACATTTTGGGGTCTTCCCAATTGCCATCCCATCCACTTCCGGTGCATTGGAGCGTCATCGAGGCAGAAGCAGCTTCACGAGGTCTTTGGCCGGAGGCTTCGCATGTATTTTCGTGGGTCAAATGCTGTACAGCTACAAGAACCTGGGCGTTAGCATTGTGTGCTGAGCTGTCTCCACTCTTTACGGCTCTGCTGAGCTAGTATTAATAGGACATGTACAGTCTACAGTGGCTTTGCGACGCTTTCATGAGATCATATCTGCCTATGTAGGCAGGAGACTGCAGATGCAGCACTAGCCCTCCAGCCCTCAGTCTCTCACAACAGTCAGCCAGGCCGCAAGTACCTCCAGGGTCACCAATCATGATAGGAACAGTAAGCTTTGATGAGTCAAGTGTCAAAGCAACACATACACCGTGTATGTCATGCTAGCCATACATACATTTGTACGTAGGTTCGCTTCGCCACCACCAACTTCCCAAAGAACGGACGTCGACGCAACAAACATGTAGCCGACTTGTAAGTGTTTCTTTTGAAGTGAACTACTCATTCATCGAAGCCATATCAGATAGGCCTTCCTCTATCCTGCAAACCTTTAGAAACAAATCCTGCAAACCGCGACGTTTCTCCTGTTATATGTCTAATTTATATGTAAGCCTTTTTGAAGTACAGTTAGTTTACCCCTTGGAAGTAAATCTTTCGAGCTACTGTACATCTCTTAACAAAAGTCTCGTCTCCTACTGGAAAGCCTATTCCATTGCAAAAGACTCCGTCAACATGTC